AATGCGAGCTTGTCGCGAGTCTCACTCGAGATGCCTGGGTTTTCGGTCCATCACTCTCGACTCTCCGTAGGGACACGCGGCTCAATGCGAGACGATTTCCAATGGAAGGGCCTTCATGCATCGGGATGAGATTCGCATTCCTATATGGAAAGGAAAGCGACTTACTGAATGGCCAATATTTCCCGTGACTGGATTTCGACTCCTCGATGTCGCCTGAGCAGATCGCTCCTCCTAGCCCCGAGACTCCCTTTATCTATCATCCGAATCCACAGTCGCCGATCGAGATTTGACATCGAATAGAATAATGGGGCTACGGAAGCTGGTTTACCGACCGAAGCCGGGTAGGGAAAGTCATCACCTGGTGGAGCTTTCACCGCTTCGAAGAATTCCTGGAAATGTTTATCGTCCATAATAATGGTCAAGAGAGTCCCTCAGTTGAAGGCGGGAAACACATTCCAGACTACGCGGCGTGAGAGGAGACATCGCGCAGGGATCACGACCAATCTGAATGTGTCTCGCGACGAGCACGAGATTCTGCTCGAGGAGTCTCCATCCTTAAACGTTTCTCGCTCCCCATTAGCGGACCCGTCTGAGCGGCGTCTCCCTCAGCGAGAGTTCCCCTTACGGATTGTCTCGAATGGTCGGGTCGGCTTCCTCGACCAATTATTATTCAACGGATATTTTCCTCCAATCTGGGGGATGGGGGGTAGATCGCGCCGGAAACAGGGGGTTTGGACAAGCTCCAGGAATCTGATTCGCGGGAATTGAGGAGGTAGGTCACAGGGAGAACAGTGTTACTCCAGGCCACTCTTTTCCCTTCCATCCTCAGTAAATGCCGTGAATTATTCACGGATAGGTTCCCTACATTCTCATCGCTCTGACGAAAGAAGACGCGGCGAGCATGAGGTATCTCTTCGCCTCCGATAGCTGATTTTAGCGGATCGTCGTTTCTAATCTTTGGTTTCAATCTCCGATATCAAGCCCTACTGTCGGCGCCTCCCCGGGTGTAGCTATCGCTCCATTCTTGTTTCTCGAGCGCTGTTTACCCCGCCGAACTTTTGGACCTGAGAGAGTCTAGAATCCATTCTTCCCTCACATTTTCTCATCAAGACCTGAGACGCGTGCCATAGGATCAAACTTACACCGCAGATCATCCCCGAGATTCACAACATGCCGAGCCGAAGCTGTCTCAACCTTCCAAAACTTTCTCTTGGGGCTGTGTTTGGGGAGAGAAGATCCTGGTGTCTATGAGCATCTACGAGAGAATCATCGAGCTTCTCGCACTTTCGGAGCTTAATCTCGATGGGAAAAAACGCTCGGATCTCTGAAGATTGTGAAGCATGAGACCAAGCGAAAGCTAGCAGGGAACACGAGCCGTGGAACCTTCTGAAGCGGTTCCGTGATGATCTGGAGCAGATTAGAACGTAACTTCTCCACGGCGACCGCTAAAGCTTCACAGAATCGAGCCTCGACCGGCGGCGTGTCTGCTCTGACCGACTCGCCGGTAATACAAAGAACGCTTCCTCGGGGAATCCCCTTGCCCATAGACCACGCGGAGGGGAAGAGCTCTGATCCGTCTGCGAATCGAATTTTACATGGAACCGCATCAATCGTGCGGTCGATCTCCGTCGGATATCCCTCGAGAAGCAGCGAAATCCGAATCAAGATGCCGCTCTCTGAGGCCGAACTACACGCCTGCGATGTTTCTGCACGGCTCAGAGTATTTGTTTTCGCGGACGTTTCGCCGCAGAGAAACAGATGCTTTCAGCTCCGCTCGAGTCCGATGGGCCTAGCGAGTCACAGATCATCAAAGGTCGATTAAGCTAGAAATGAGAACTCCAAAATAAATTCATCGTTCCTGTCTGTGGTTTCAGAGAACTCGCGATGGGCGCCCCGCTCCTCAACCCATTGGCGGTTCGATTCGGCATTGACGAGTTTCGCTCAGAGATTTCTGACGCCTGCGGGCTAGATACGGATCTGTTGACCGCGAGCGCCTGATTCATGCCCGCCAGAGCTAGAACCCTCCTGTGTTTGTTATGCCATTTTGATGCCAGATCACGAGTTCTGAGATCCCGATCGAATCATCTATCCGCCGGCCTCAACTTCTCGATTTGCCAGCCTTGGAGTTGGAACATGATAATCAGGGAATTTAGCAACGTTCCAGCTCCTGAACGAACTCCTCAGGAGTGAGGGCGGCGACTTGAGGAATCTACAAACGAGCTTCCGTCGAGAGTTACGATACATTCATTCAGATTATAATCCCCGACCGAAGCTCGCGCTTCCGGAGCATCGATGCAGTTATATCGTGTGAACGCATTCCACACACAGTCAAGCTCGGGGAAAACAGCTTACATTATCACCAGAAAACCACCCAAAGCCGCAGTATTACAGTGCGACTTTTCGTCACGGACACGACAGAATGGAGCTCTGCGAGGTCTGTCGCTTGAATTCTGCTGCGACGCTGACAGAAATTATGTAAATTCCTGTAGCTAGTAATCAACATTTTCATCATCCCGTTGATTATTCTAAGCCCATCATTGTCCACTTGGTCACGGACTCCGCGGGCGAGTCATAGTCATCTGAACGGAAATGCGGCGTCACCGTTTTTGTGGACGATCGGGTGCCGAGAGAAATGAGCAACACAGCGGACGAAGCGGGAGCTCATTTCGAGGCTGCGTCCATAGTGAGTGGCGGCATTCCCTTGAGTCTACGAGCTCTATGATCGGGAAAGAGATGGCTCCAATTCCTTCATGGATCCTATATCTTGCTCGGAAGAGATATCGCCAGTCAGTCATTACCGGATCGATAATCCCTTCGCCACACTTGGGTCCCGATTCATTCTTCATGAACACATCAGGCTTGAGATAATTGTAGATAGCGAAGACACGTCGTGACGGATTGGGCAACCGGGAAACATCAACGGGAACTAGGAACTACGAATTAAAGGGATTCTAATCGAATTGAAGCAGACTAGGAACTCAACCAGACCGATCAATTGTGAGCCGGCAGACGATCCGCGACTAGAACGGATAAGACTCATCCCGATGATCCCGATTTCCGTCAACCCAGAATACCGGAGTCGCGTGTAAATCTTCACGTCGGGGCAGCAGCCATCGCTGTGACTTTCCTCTGGGAAAGAATTCGTCAAGTTGTTCAGAGCCCCTTATCATTCGTTTCCGAAAGCAAATGAGTTCAAGATGAAGCAGTGTTCTCTCATAATCATATCAAGACCGCAGGCAAACGTGTCGCACTCTACATGGTGATTAGAAGAACAAGCGGTCCGTCAGTTGGTCAAAGTCACCAGTTCTCACCTTCACCTTGTGGCCTTCAGTGTTTCTGCTTCTTCTCGGAGAGGCGACTGATATTCTGGCTGAACGATTCCGACCCGCAGCTCCGTCTAGTCCAGCCCACCCCACGGCTATCGAAGGCATTTGATGCGCCCAGCCCCGCGTTGCGCCGGCATTCATCCGAACGTCATACGCGAGGCGGGATAAATTTTCAGAGGGACTCAAATCCCCGATTAGAGGGACTGGGACGCCGCAAAGTATTGATGAATCAACCGTCAACAGAAGTCGTTACGGAGCGCGTTCTTTGGCTCACCATCGAATCCCGTTCGTTACTGAACAGAATCCGGCGGCGGGCTGCAGACCTTGCGAAGTTCAGGGTCGAGCCGGAGCTTTCTGGATCAGGAAGCTAACGCAATCGTCGGACGACCTTTTGTGTGTACCCGGAATGTTTTATCCGGAATCTGTCGAAGACTCAATATTCGAGCAGTTCTCCCCCACATCCTCTGAGTAAGTCGATCTCGGTGATTTTGAATGGATCCTCCATGCCATAGCGGCTGGTCCGGGTCGGCTGGCGCGGATGACGGATATCGCGATGGCCGTCCGCTCTGGTGAAACCAAAGAGAAATTTCGATGCCATCTTCAATAGTTCTGTCACGGCCTGGCGTTCCACGCCCGAGAGATGTACGATATTATCCTTTCCGGAGCAGAGTTACGCGATCGGGGATTGGCCATTGGAGTTGGGTCGTTCCCGGTTTCCGATCCATAATCTTCATATTTCTGTTGCGTCTCTGTAGAATAGAAAACGTACAAAGCCGATACAGCGACACCCTCCGCGATTTTTTTGGAGGATTCATCCTTCGATGAGCATTCGGAAAGCTTTTTTCAAAAGATCCGCGAAATGGGTGTACATTTCGAATCAAATTTTTTATGGTCGCGCTCTAGGCTCTCACTGTTCTGTCACTTTCCCGTTTCCTCCCGAGTTTGAGTCGCTCCGACCTCCTGCTCGGGAATCTCCGCCCCTCCCGAGTGATGGCGCTTCCTTGTATCGGGTTCGAGGGTTTGACCGCGGCGGCTCGATTTCTCAGGCAGACGCCGGCTCACGACCTCTGCTCTCATTGGATAGGCCACCGGGGCAAGAGCGAAGACGCTCTCTTATCGCCGTCACCCTTTAAAACGCCCTCAGGGGCCCGAGGAAGGAACGCGAGGCAGCGACGTCGTCCTCAGCGCAGCGCTGTCTACTCTGAGCTTGATACTTCGGTTTCTGGCCGACAGTTCGACGTCGGAGCCGGACAGTTTGTCGAGCTCCACGGGGCGTTCCTTGCTGGTGGGCACACATCTCAGGCAAGTTCGAGTTTCTCGTAGGTTGAGCTCATAATCGAGGGCGCGTCTCTCCCCCCGCTGCCACGGGTGCGACAAAGCCTCTTTACGATCGAGGAAAAAATTCGCGGGGGAGATCCCCGAGCGTCTGACCGCTCGTGATTCGTCAAATCAATTGACTGAGCCTAGTGACAATTGGCTCCTCGACCCTAAAAACTGACAAAGACCGCAAAGAGCAATGTTTTCCGCAAGCAATGATAGGCATGATATTCCAGCCGGAGTCTCAGGTAAACAATGACATCGCACATGCTTCCCTCTCCCACGACTTTCTTGCGAGAAAGCTTCACTTTCTTCTGAAGCTGTGAAGCTCTGCCCGTGAGCCAGACTAATAGACCGTTACGCACAACACAGTTATCCGTCGTGTTTCTGGCGGCGGCGGCGGCGGCGGAAACTACGGCATAGTGTTACCTCTATCCAGTGAACTGCGGGAGCCAATCACGACATCGGGCAGGAAGTGTCCAAGTGCATCGGAGACATCGATTTTCAGTGTTGTTCAATACTTGCAGGACTGTTTGTGATCGAGAAGAGCTCCGAGCGATCCGATTCCCTCCGACATGCGCTTGACAGAGTTCAGCGACTACATTTGGTCTCTGCGAGACCCTCGGACAGAGGGATGGAGTTTGTCCGCGGACTACAAATTTATCTTTCCGCTCATCGCCCTCTACCTGTACGTGGTGAAGATCAAGGGCCCCGAGCTTATGAAAAGCCGTCCAGCCTATAATCTGAAGCCATACATACTCACCTATAATGCCGCCATGGTCATAACGAATGCGTTCTTCTTCTGGAACTACTGGAAGAGATCCTACGGAGGGGGTGGCTACAATCTCTTCTGTCAGGTGAGGAATTCTTAGCGCGTCGACTTTCTCAAATTTGTTCGATGGAGATCCGTTCGTCGCGAGTCTGGATCGAGGGGACGCGGCGCTGCGGAATAGTACGGCTGATCTCACTCCTGGCCGAAATTCCAGGGAATTTCCTACTCGACGGACAAGAATTCGATGGAGATCTTGGAACTGACATGGTGGTACGTGCTGGTTCGGATCGCGGATTTCATCGACACGATTTTCTTCCTCCTGCGAAAGAAGTACGAACACATCTCGACGCTACACGTCGTCCATCACACGCTTGTCGTCTTCTCGGGCTGGCTCTGGCTGAACTTCGGCTCCGATGGACAAGTTCTCCTGGGAATCTGCTTCAACGCTTTCATCCATGTCATCATGTATTCGTACTATGGTTTCGCAGCCCTCGGACCCTGGACCCGGAAGTATCTCTGGTGGAAGAAATATCTCACCAAACTCCAGATCTTCCAGTTCCTCTTCCTGAACGGTCACATCCTGATCCCGCTCTTCTACGACTGTGGATACCCGCGTCCGCTCATATTTCTGGCTGTCGCTCAAGGCTTGCTCGGCCTCACACTATTTATTAACTTCTACATCGAAAAATACTGTTCTTCCCCCGCAGCCTGCAGGACGATCAAAATGACACCAGGCGAGGAAGCGGGCGGACAGAGACTTCTTGTAGATAGTCGAAAAAACGCTTGAACGATTAGCGAATTGTCGAAACAAAATAGGAGAGTGGAATGATTGTCGAAAGGATGACTGCTATGATTGATTCGATCAGCGAATAGAGATTCTAGTGGGTAAATTCTGGAGCTTACCCATGATGTGTATGGATCAAGAATGAAACGAGCGGGGGCAGCGACAGTAACAGCCATCGCTCGGGATGAGTATCTGGAAATGAAAGTTGTTCCCGTTTTGAGCAGTGTACCGGAATATATCCTGTGAATTTCTTATGTGGTCGGAGCAGAAGTTCCCCCGGGTTCTCTCACCGTACTGGAACTGGTGCTTGCGAAGAGCGAGAGAACAATTCATTTGAGAATGACAGAAGAAGGGCCAGAAGAGAGCAGGCATCATTGTTGCTTGTCCGGGCCCCTAAAACTCCCCGTGTCATCGGTTCCAGATGACCGATTGGAAGGACTCCCACATGAACACCGTTCGTTTTGTGCAGCTGTGTCTCGGTATCTGAGTAAGTGGCTGAATGACTGCCGGACTGGTCAGACTGGGGAAAGTTTCGTTTCAGAAGAGCCCACGTTACAGATCCTTCTCCATTATTCCGAGATTCAAAGTTCGAACAGAGTCACGCTGTCCTTCAAGTCCCGCTGTTTTGGGTCCATCATGACGTGAAGCCGCTGGGCCTCGAGCCAGGGACAGTTCGCTTGGAAGCGTTTCGCGTGGTCCTCAGGCGAACTCGATCTCCGAACTTGATATGTCGAACAGTCCAACGTGTCATACACAACAACCTTCCGATGCTTCTGCGCGGCTTCCTTCTAGGAGAGATATTTCGATGGCTCGGCGATCACGGTGCTCTTCCCAGCTGGAATGACCATTGATTTCGAGTCGTATTGGGGCGCGAAGGACGATCGGAGAGAAAGGCCCCGGAAGAAACGGAGAGGAATCCTCGATATCTCCGAATCTCGAACCGAGAGAGGCGCACTTCTCTGAGCCTCCTTCCTCAACCGCTCTCCTCGGCTATAATTATTACTCTCTGACCCTCCGATTGATCAGTTCGATTCGAAACTTTGGGAAGATGTCATGCCGTTTGATGCCCACATCCGAGAATTTTCAAAAAAAAACATTGAGGGAGCCTTGTTTAAACGATTATCACCAAGCTCTTCCCCTGGGAAATTCCGTTTCCCTGCGTGTACAAGTTGCCGGAGCAACGCCGGGGAACGATCGAGCTGGATTGGCAAGCAGAATATCGACATGTTCACCTCGAATTACAGATATTCATGGATTGATATGAGCTGTGTTTTGATCAGAGAAACACAGAGGAAGTTGTGACGGTACGAGTCTGGGGAGAGTCACGAGGCGACCTCCGTCCAACGCGATAAGTTGTTCAGTCTCATCGGTGCTGTTGATTCCTGTTTCCTGCAGGAATCGACGTCATCGGTGAAATCGAGTTTGAAGAACGTCCTTCTCGACAAGATACACCGTTCGCAGAGCTGGTGAGAGAAGCGATGATTGCGGAGACCGCTCTCGTAAGCGCAGCTGGCCTCCTCAGAGACAGAAACAGGAATCTTTTTCCTTGGGCTTTTCGCTCCTTCGGAATGTCCGCCAAATCCTAGCATCCGGATTCTCTTGGAGATGGCCGAGGAGCGGATTGAAGCAAAGAACAAATCATGCTCTATTTCTATCACAGATACCTCTCGAAGACAGATTCGGTTTTGGATTCTTTTCTCGTTCTGTCTCAATTTTACACGAAGACGTGATTTCTTTCCATCCGGCTCCTGAAAGACACAGAGGACCAGATACGAAGCATGGGTGAGAGTCGCAAGGAAGCAGAGCTCGGGCTTCCGTAGAGCACTCGCGTCCGCTGAGTTTCTCGCGATGATATCAATCACCATTGAGACGCGTCATGAACTGCGAGCGCACCACAAACAATTTCAAAGGGCTTCATAACCCCAGAACGAATACCACGGAACAGTCTTCGCTCGCGACTTCGCGGATCCGAAAAACAGTTCCTTAACCCGCATTGACTCGCAAGCCGACAAACGAGGTGAGGGACGTAGAGGCTCCTTCGCTCTCCCTCAAAGCAAAAACTTCACGGGGAACGGTGCCAGCTGGGACGGCCTGCTCTGCCTGGATGCCTGCTAAACATTACCAGCCCCAGTACTTTCGGTGCATCTGCAGCGACGGGCCCAATGCGGTATGCACAGGGGAATCATCTCAAGCTCTCGATCGTGTATAGAGGTGTATTACTCATTCATACAATATATATAGAGGTATATTACTCCCGTATGAAGGTCGAGAGGCCGCTCGTCCCACTGCGAGCCACTTGAGGCGCCGCGCTCGCGGTCAAGGGACCCGTTTTTCCTTCCGTCCTGACTCACACACGCTTGAACATATGGAGCATTCGACCCGCCCCCTCCATCAAGAATGTGTCTCCAATCGAGCTGAAACCTTGTTTTCTGTAGAGCATTTCCGCAGTACACCTGGCTTTGCACCACAGTATCCGACCTGGAATGAATCGAGGCGCTTTTTGAGGCGGCTCACGCGCGAAGAGACCGTTTTTCGGGGACAACTCGCGTTCGAAATCCAATATGACGTCATGCGGATACCAGAATGGAAAGGTGACCATTATCATGACGTGATGCGCGCGAGAGCCAATCGACAGACACTTCGACAGAATTTTTTTTCCCCTCACCTCCACGCTGTCGAATGTGGCGAATGCTTTCATTCAAGAGCTTCGCTCCCAATCCTCTCTTCCGCATTTTTTCGGCGACTGCGAAACCTCTAATCCGCCATTGTACCTTTTCACGGCTGTTCGTCTCGTCCTCAATGTCGTCCAGATTTTCCTGACAGGATGATACTCATCAGCGTCGGATCGGCTCGTCGACGTACAGCTGGGATCCTCGTGGAGAGAAAAAATCCACTCGTGCAAGGAGATGTCCTATTGACTATCGAGAGCTAGGCGAATACCATTTTTTTCTAACGTCCACAGACTTTCCTTTCCGTACCCGGAAGACGGAAATTACTCCGACCAAGTCGGTGGAGACGAACGCTCCGAGGTGAATTGTTGACTCGACGAGGTCATCCTCATATTCCACCACATCTAGATCGGGCCGTAGCGCCGCCTGCCTCAGAGGGTACGTATCTCGCAGATCGATCGGTCGAACCTGAGGCGAAAAAACGGTTTTCAGAATCAAATTCTCGCTCCCGACTGCTGAGGGGGGCTTTCCCCCTCTCTCACTCGTGACAGACCCTATGAGCGCTCCACGCGACGGCTTTTCACTCCTTAGAATCTCAACCGCTGAGCCGATCTTGAACGCTCATGGCTAATCACAACCTTTTAGAAAATCAGTTCCTTAAGAACCGATAACTGATCACGAAACGTCGAATAGAATTATTATTATTATTATTATTGTTTGTACAGTATAAACTCGATTACATGACCCTTAACTCTTCTCCACTCGATCATGTCACCCTCTCGGATTTCAGATCTTCGACGCTGGAAAATTCGTCGATTTCACTCCAAAATTCGGGGTTCTCGATTATATCATCCGTAAAGTTCTCAAGCTCGATCCTATCGCCCGGAGAGCGCCGAAACTCGATTGATCACATCGATGATAGTCTTCCCAATCAGCGAAGCGAGCTGACTTTCTTTTCGACCACATTCACTGCTCGTCTCGACTTTTTCTTCTTGCGGAGCCTCGTGTCGATAGCGTCTATAGGAATCGGCACGGAAAGTCAGCTCAGTTTCACGGGGCCAGATCTCATATGACGCAGACGTGAGTGAACCGACTGACTGGGATATCGCTCGGAGAGCGTTTAAAGAGTGAATCAATGCGCTGTGAGACTCGGAATCGGGTCTGAAGGGCATCAGTCTCAAACGATCGGAGAATCAGACTGAAAACTCTGTGATCATGGATATTCTCATGAGGGTCATATAGTCGAGAGGCAGGCGAGATGTTGATATGTACAATCCGAGTTTCAGTGAGTTTCGATTGGATTGAAATACGATGGCTTATATCATCACGTCGGAAATTCGAAATGATCGATTTCCGTAGGAATACATCAGAACTCGATTCTGGCACATACTCGATTATCACCGTCTCCGAAGAGGGATTAGGTGATATAATCGAGTTCATCCTGTAAATCATTCTGCGAAAAGCTCAGAGGACGACCACCTCCCAGATGGAGCAAGCCAGGCAGTCCAAGCCCGCTGTCCTGGTTGTCCTCGACTGCGTATCTGCTAGGGCTAACAGTAGATCCGAATCGCGCAATATCTCTCGGTTTCACCCGCGGGTTCTGGAACCGGATAGAGCCGGCGCGACGTCTTTCGCCGAAACTCAGGAGCGGATGATGAATCGTGAGAGCCATTCTCGGGGATCAATGACGACAAAACGTCGCTGATGCACGCTTTCTCTCGAAGTGTGCAAAGGAATCCTCGAAGCCGTCCCACCCACCTCCGTTTCACCGGAGACAGATTTCGACGTACTCCGGCTGCTATTGGGGGAAAATAGAGCGAGCTCACGTCCTGAAGCTCTCGACGACATTTTCATCTTATGCAAGACCTTCGAGGCCGAAACTCAATCGCTCCCGCCGGAAATAAATTAAAGAGCCCCAGTTCGCTCGTATAAGATGGCGTTCGAGAATCAAGTATTCCGGGGACACACGCGGGAGTGAGGAAAAATCACGGTTCTTTTTGGATCCGACCCGCGGTTCTACCGTCTCGGTTCTCGGGTACCCGTGAACCACTGTTCTCGAGGAGTACGGGTTTTTGACAGCCCTAGTATCAACTCTGAAGAGTTCCCCGAAGAATGGACCAGGGACGGCGTCCAGCGCTTCATTTACGCGATCCCCCCATGGAACTCAGCCGGCAACAAATCTCCCGATGAAATAGATTGGCTGTTATGAGATTCGTCATGAGTCATTTCATAGAGTAAATACCGCTTCCGCGAGAAAGTCAATCAGCCAAGCTAGCGTTACGCGTTCGAAGCTTTCATTCAACAGCAGCCTTCCGTGGCGGAAGTCAGCCGCTCCAGCTGAAAATGGCCTTCTCGGCGCTTCGCAGTTTTCCTTCTCAACTTCACTTCGGCCTTCGCGGTGGTTCCCCGCCGAAACTCCCTTTATGCGAGTTCGTCCTCAAGAGCCGGCGACTCACGCAGATACGCCTCCTCGTCGGAACGGTCAGTTTGGACCTCAGATCGCGAGTCTGTCTACCAGGGCGATGTCCGGGACGCTGAGGCTCGACTACCTTCGCGGTAGAAC